CTATTTCAAGCTGCTTATTCCCGGGCTTTTGATGCATGGAAACAATGCAGGCTAAGATCTTGGAGAGCAGCAGGGATGGATGGGTGAGGATATTTTCTTTACATCACCCTCCTTTTTTCGAAGATTAGACAACTGCAGCCTCACCTCACACTGCTGTTGGAATCTCTCCACAATGCTGACCCGCAACCGGAGCCTTCGGAAGCTGAACCTGGGCAACAATGACTTGGGCGACCTGGGTGTGATGATGCTCTGTGAAGTTCTGAAACAGCAGGGCTGCCTTCTGCAGAACCTACAGTGAGTGCGTCCTGCAGAGCTCCACATGAGGGGCACAGCGTGCTGAGGGGAAGGTGACCACAGGACAAAATTCAGGACTTCTCTGGAGTAATTCGCATGTGGGGTTAGATGGCTCTGGGCCAGTTGTGGATTTTTAAAAATACAGCGATATGGGAAAAGTAATATCCAACAGTATCCAAATATTCAGACTACATTCAATTGGGTGTGAAAAGACTTGCCATCCTGAAAAAACCCAACAATGTCTTGCAAATAAATGCCATCCATGTGACTGCTTTTCATTTAGACTTGCTTTTCTTTAAGGATGGGAAGCTTTTCACACTCAATTGAATCCTGAGTGGTTTGAAATCTGGAAAGCCTAGAGCAGAATGAACAAGGACGAAGAAAAGATGATTTATAGACAGCCAGAGCCATGTGACAAGGGGTCCCGGACGCCTCCAGGAGCTTGTAGCTCTTAGTATGAATGGGACCAGGAGTCACTGGGAAGAGCAAAGCTGGGATTACTGATCCAGCCCAGAGCAATTGTCAAGACTGAGCTGGTGGCTCAGGCTCAAAATAGCCTGGGAATTCTTGGATGTAGTCAGCTTGTGTTAGTTAGTGAAAACAAATCACTATCGATTAGGTGACTTAAACAGCAGGAGTGTATTTAACCACAGCTCTAGAAGCCAGAATGTCTAAAACGAGGCTCGGCTTATTTAGTTGCTGGAAAAGGGCTCCTTTTCTCTCGCAGAGGGCTGTTTCACCGTGTGCTCACACTCCAGGTGAGACAAGGAGAGATCTTGTTCCCTGATGTAAGGGTTCTAATCCCTTCACAAGGACTCTGTTCTTACACTTTCACCCAACCCCAGTCACCACCTGAACACCTTACCTATCACCACATTTCAGGATAGGACTCCAACACACTCACATTTTGAAGGTGTGCAAACGTACAGTTCACAGCTCAACCAGACGCTGTTGGAAAAGATGTAGGACCAGTGGTCCATTTCCTTAGTTAACTTTCAAGGAAATGTTAATAAAGAAGGTGAATTCAGTACTTGAGCTGGCTGTGGTGGCTCACACCAATAATCCTAGCACTCAGGAAGTGGAGGTAGGAGGAGTTCTAATTTTAGGAACAGCCTCACTACATATACCAGATCCTGAATAAAAAAAAAAAAAAATGTGCAGACTAATTGAGAGGCATCCCAAGAAATTGCAATGTGTAGATTTGTAGGAGATCTCAATTAGATAAACATATTGTAAAATATTTCTAAGACAATTGAGGAAATTTAAATATACACTGGACGTTGATAGTAAGGTATGAGAGAACATTGCAGTTATCTTGTAAAAAGTGTTGGTCATTAAATATTACACAGTAAAATAACTATAAATACATGGAGTCAAGTCATCCATTCAAGTAGGTGTGGGAAGCCAATAGACTTTAAGCATGGTGGGCCATGAGCTGCTTGAACTGTTGAACCTGGGCAAGGACAAGATGATCCTGGCCTCAAATTCACTAAGTAGCCCAGGCTACCCTTGAACTGTGAAACTCTTCCTGCTGTAGCCTCCCAAGTGCTCCCATTATAGGTCTACACCACCACACCAGATGAGCTGACATTTTAAAGGCCCAGTTCCCAGTTTCTGATGAGTCTAACCCAAAGCTTTCTTTCTGTTTTTACAGGTTGTGTGAAATGTATTTTAATTATGAAACAAAACATGCCTTAGAAGCGCTTCAGGAAGAAAAGCCTGAGCTGACTATTGTCTTTGAGCCTTCTTGGTAGGCTTGGAAACAGGACTGTCAGGTGCCAAGGCCGGCTCCGTGCCCCAGAGCATCCCATCCTTCATGGTTATGAACCTTCCTCCTCCACCATCAGGACCACAGCCAGGCTTGTTCCAGTGCAGGGTCTGGAGCAAAGGCTCATGTGGGGAGCCGAGCATGTTTTCCCCAGGGAAGACTTCGATAATGTGAAACTGCTGGAGGATGCAGTTCCCATCACGTCCTCAGTCTGAAAGGTGTTCCATCTTGGTGACCTTCTGGAACCAACTTATAGAACATTTTCTATAAATTGTCCTTTTCTCCTCCAATGCTGTTTTTTTTTTTTTTTTAAATCTCCCCTTCCCTCCCTCTTCCCCCTCATTTTCTTCACATTTGCTCACATCATTGTTTTTGTTTTTCTGTTAACTGACCGTACCGTATAAGCAGCTGGCTGTGTGCTGAATGGCAGGTTTGTGGTAGCCACTTAGCCACTCATTTGTTTTTATTTTTATAGTTATGTCTTTTTGTTTAGCTACCTGAAAACCCAGAGATTTATAAAAATCTATTTTTATATTTATTGTATGTATGTACTGCTTTTTTAAATTTAAAAATATATCTGGAATTCTTTTAAGTTATTTGTTCAAACTATTAAAAATAAATCACTTTAAACATTTAAAATACCTTTTTGCAAAATGATTCAACTTTGGTTAACAAGGAAAAAAAATGCCATCACTCAGACTTTGGAGGCAGGGTTTCAGCTAACCTAGAGCCGAGGTCAGCACCGCACGGGGGAAGGTTAGATCCCATGGAGAAGTGATCCCAGGACATTCTCAAATAGAAGGATAACACAGAAAACGCACCTTGCCCGTGGTTGACAGCAGCTCACCTGGGGTTTACCCATTTGAAGAGCAGCTCCTCTTCCTAAGCAGCACAGAGAACTAAATCATGAACACACACTGACCAATTGCTCTGCACGCAGGAGCAACTTTTAAACCATACAGCGTTGCTCAGAGTGGAAATATTGTTTCATATTGTCCAGTGGACCCTCCAGACCTTTGCATGGAAATGTGGTTGGTGAACTGTTAATATAGGAGATCATGCAAGGGCCAAGCAACTATGCCACTAAACACTCTTTAGATAAACCACCCTTAAAAAACAGCCTGGCCGGGCGGTGGTGGCTCACGCCTTTAATCCCAGCACTCGGGAGGCAGAGCCAGGTGGATCTCTGTGAGTTCGAGGCCAGCCTGGACTACCAAGTGAGTCCCAGGAAAGGCGCAAAGCTACACAGAGAAACCCTGTCTCGAAAAACCAAAAAAAAAAAAAAAAAAAAACCAGCCTGTTTGTTCCATTGACCTTCCAGTTCTCCCCATTCCATCTCTCTGGTGCTGGTATTGCAGACAGGTGTGACCATGCCACCATGTGATGCTGGAGCTCAAACCCAGTTCTTTGTGGTTGCTTGGCAAGCATCCCACCAGCTGAGCTATAGCTTCCTAGAAAGACTAATTGAATAAGGAAAGTTATGTGGTCCATAATTCAGTGCAAACTCTTGGCCTGCTTAGGAGTCTGTGTGTGTGGTGGGGGCAGCAGTAGCAGCAGCAGTAATGATGGGGCTTGAACGCCAGTTCTGAACGCCAAGCTTCAGTCTAGGGTTTTGACTATTTATCTACACATTTGCTTTCTGTATTATAGAAACCCGAATCGTGACACATTATCTCCCTGTTGTCAAAATTTGACATGCATTATAAAAATCCATTTTTTAATTTCTATTACATGTCAGTTTGTTATGTAATCATGCTTTAATTTGCTTGTGAGTTGAATCACTTAAATACTTTATAACTCTAAGTAAAAGAAGTTCTGAGTACTTGAGAGATGACTTAGTGGTTAAGAGCACTGGTTGCTCTTCCAGAGGACCGGGGTTCGATTCCCAATATCCACGTGCTGGCTCACAACCACGTGTAGCTCAAGACCCAGTGCTAGAACTTGAGAATAGGCGCTTTTTTATTATATTTCATCCTTTGAGGACCCAGAAGTTTGTTCAGGGTTTTGCTGGGTGGTTCTTCTGTCCAGTGTTGGGGGTTATCCGGCTGGAGTATCCAGCCCCATTCAGGAGTTGAAGAGCTGGCTGCTGTCCTGGCTCACATGTGTGCTGCAGTCTCCCCAGCATGGTCAGTCTTACAGATAATGGACATCTTGGAGACTCAGGGTACCCAAGCAATTACTAAAAGTTGCCAGGTGTCTCACAACTTTGTCCGGGAAGATCTAAAGAATCTCTCACTGAGTTCAAGTGGCAAAGCAAGTCACTAAGCCTAGTCTTCACAAAATAAAGAGAGTTTGAGATTGCCAGTTAGCACATCTCAACACTCAATTCTTGACAGTTCTCCACACTCAAAAGTGTGCTAGAATTAGGTCAAGTCATTATATTGATATATGCACTGATTCTCTTTTTGGATGATTCTTACTATGCTCATTTATTGACTTGTGGCTTGGGTTTGTACCATTGCTTACGACTCTTCTATGTTATTCTGGGATGTAAAGGGTTCTGAGCTGCTACGCAATGATAACTCTATGGAAATCCATTGGTTCTGGATCTGGGACAGTCATTATGTTTCACATTTCTTAAATCAAAAATTTTCAGCTCTCTGACTTGCATTTAAGCTTTGCCTTTACTGTTAGATAATTTTCTTCTTTTCCCAATTTTCATCCATTTATTGTTTGTTAATTTACTAGGCTTGATTACATTAATAGTGTCTCATCAAGACATCAGGGCAGAAACAAAGAGCTAAGTATAAAAGGATCTTCTATGTGAAAAACAAAGGCAAGGTGTTGGAGGGGTGGCTCTGGCTAAGACTGCTGCTGCCCTTGCAGAGGACTTCAATTCCAGAGCTAGTGAATCTGATGCCCTCTTCTGGCCTCTGTGAGCAACTGCATGCACACATACACACCCCTCTCCCCATATATACACATAATTTAAAATCAAATACAATCTTCAAGAATGGTTTAATAAAAAGAAAGAAAACCAAATGCAAATAAATATAAGGTGCTTGCCATAGCTCCATTTCAAGCACCTTATAGGTGCTTGTAGGATACTTATAGGCAGCCAGTGGGATGTTTGTGAGAATCTGAGTTTCCCTGGCTACCAGAACTCTATAACAGCTGGAGCAATTACTACCACCTTTAATAGTTGATTCTTATAGGAAAAGGGAAATTGCAAAGGTGATCATATCATGAGGGTCAGTATCATACAGATTGGTATTTAAGGACGCTCAGTGTATCACCGACATCGCAGGCGCCTTCTATACATGTTAGCCATAATAATCACCTTCAACATTTCTTGTGTGTGCTTCTGGGGAGAAAAGCCAGGACCAGGCTAGGCACCAGCTCTATGACTGAGCTGAGCATCTCCAAGCTAAACTCTTAAATTTTTATGTGATGCTTTATTGTCTTTAACGTTGACCATGCTTGTTGCCATATTCTCCTGGGAACATGCCCATCTGTAAGGTGAGAGGTTAGGTGTATCTGTTTCCACCAATGTATCCTACTCTTCTAGCCCCACAGCAGAAAGATTTACAGTAGCTCTCAGTCAGTGGTGGGAAAACTTTCTATGAAGGCTGTTTGAACCCAGGAAAAAGAAAATCATCTATGGAAACAAAAGAAGAGTGCAGTCACATAGTTCCTGTGACATATTGGGAAGACATACATCTATTGAGATTTCAGTCCACGAAGAACAGATGTTTATCATGGATAAGACTGTGCATCAGGCTCATATTGTGCACATCTGGAGTGACTGCTAAGGAAGAGAAAGGCTTAAAAAGAGATAAATAGGAAAAGATAGAGGAAATATAGGAAGAGGGGGGAAAAAGGAAAGAACTAGGAGATGAAGAATCCAGTAGTCTCACACCTACTGGTGAGCATCAAGTCATTTACACAATTGATTCTTAAAGCTATATGTCTTCTTAGGATTGTGCTTTGACAACCTACCTCTTAGATGCTTAAGCATCATCACCACATAGAAAGTGAAGTATTTTGAGATGGATTTTTTTTAAGCTTTCAAATTTCTCAAAGAACTTACAGTTCTAAGCATTTTCCACAGTCCTGGGAGTTGAACTCAGGACCTCACACATGCCAAGCAAGAGCTGTACCACTGAAGTATACCCCCACCTCCCAGAGTCCTTGCTCAGCCTTCAACGATTTATGCAGCTCTTCCCAGGTTAGACCTTCACCGTCCACACAGCCTCCCAATCCTTGCCAGGAGTCTTCTGAGAGCCCCCTTCACGTCCTTATTCCTCAAGGTATAGATGAAAGGGTTGAGGGTGGGGGTGACTATGGAGTAGAAGAGGGAGATAAACTTGCCTTGTTCTTGAGAGTAACTGGATGGGGGCTGCAGGTACATATAGATGGCAGGTAGGTAGAAAAGGGAAACCACCAGCAAATGGGAAGAACAGGTCCCAAAGGCCTTGTGTCGTCCCCTGGA